TTTTAGAAAAAAAAGATAATACCAGTCATAGTTTAAGCATAAAAAAGGCCCGTGAGGAGATCGAACTCGCGATCTTCGCTTACTATTACGCGCTTAAGAGTGAGCCATTGATCGCTTACAAAGCATTCGTTTTATGTTAGTATAAAAATCGACACAGAGACAGACGAAAACGGAATGCCAGTTTTTTCATATTTTAGGATCCTGAAACGTCGAGAAAACATGACAGTAGCCCTTCGCTAGATGAACCCGATTTCAATACTATCTTAGATTACACTTGAGAAGTAAAGAATGGAAAATACGGAAGCAGGTACTCCACCGACACTTGTCCTGTAGATAGATTCTTTTATTCGAAGCTGTCAAAATTTTCTAAGATTTTTAACGATCGATTTTGGTTTTGATCAGATAACAACTAATAAGATACTTTTCAAGAAATCACCCAAAGAATTCATAATTTCCCATGGGGACATAATTTTTGGTTATTAATTTTCATAATTTGTTTTTTAAGATCCTTACGTATTGAAGTTCATATTTTTGAAATAAGACATCTGAGTATCACATTTATTTAACGATCTATTTTTATAGCGAACACACTTTATAATCATTTTAGAGCAAGACAGGGATGGTATGACAATTACTTTTAAAATAAAATTTAGTGGAACTTGACGAAGAAGAATTAGATCAAAAAAGGTCTCAAATCATTTGACACATTTGAAAGATGGTTATCACGAAAATGAAGCAAATCAGTTTGTTTGAACTAAATTTAATCTAATATTACTTCTGTTGTGATTATGGTGATTTCATTCCAGATCTGTCGTTAATATTCTTTAAAATATGCGAAAATTTCTGCCTGCAAGTAATGAAATAACTCTAAAGTGAAATAAACTACCTAGGTATAACTGCATGGTGTGAAAAAATTTTACTAGACTCCCAATGACGTAAATTGTTTCTTTTGCCATGTCAGTGATTAACAGATGGCCTTGTATGTATAAACTTATTTTAAATGTGTATATTCAAGCTCAATATATTTTTAATTGCTTTAGTTTATCTTTGACCAAATTTCAAATGACACCGAAGACGAAATCTATTTATTGTTAATAATTTTTAATCAAAATATCATCTGCTTCCTTTATCTTGTTTATTCTTTTGTAGAACCTCAAACTAGGTGGCGCCTTTTGAACAATTTGCCTTATATATTTAACACTCGACTCGAACAGTTTGGGTTTATTGTTTAATCAATACACACCACAATTTAGAAAATAATCTGAAACTAATTCCCCAACTAAAACACACAAACTAGAACTCCGAGAATGTAAACCAAGCTCCTTCGGTTTCAATAAACGTACACCTAATCGAGAAAAATATGGCGAATTCAGTGCGGAATCCATAAATCCGGAGCGCCATTCCATTCTACACACGCGAGTTTATGTAGTGACAAAAAGATAAATACGAAGCAATATAACCAAAGTCTCTTTTTTCCCTATAAACCATATTCGCGGTATCTATGGGTGGAGATGTGAGCATAAAAGGATGTATAAACCGACTCCTTTTCCGGAGTTATGCATTACACGTTTGAGCTTGGATTTTTCCATCTTCCACACACATCGTCGTGATCGAATTCTCGCACGAACCTCCAGCTCTGATAACACTCTTCACCAAAAATTAATCGTCGCTGAAAAAGCTCTAATGTTTATCAGAGCAACTCCACTTGGCTGAACGCTGAAACTTTGTTTCTCGAATGGACCATAACAGTTCAGCTGCACTTTTGCAGCATCTGGAGAATCCACTTTGTTTGATTAATATCGTGGTGCTCGACTACCTCGGCCAATATTGCACACAGTGCAGGGGCGGACTCGAGGAGTCGGTCGATATGACAAGGAGTAGGAGCAGGAACCGCCGCTGAATAAATATCAAACCGAATGATTTATTTGCACTATAAATATTACATATGAGCTGGTGTGGTCTTGCCTCTGAATTTAGCCTGTACTGTTGAGATGTTTATTCATACGAGATTCGGATGGTCTCTTCTGCTGCTGGCACGTACACGCCTGTGCCCTCAGAACGAGTCGGTAAAGGATTTTTGTTCAACTTATTTATTTGCAATAAGCGTGATGGGCCCATGCCAGCAGCAGCGAGATCAATTAAATGATAGAAAATATAACTTTCTGCAAATCTTATGCCATGAGTGCTCTATCTACATATCGAGTGTGTAAAATGCATGAAGCGCTTTCCGACATGTTTGTGAGATAAGTTTTCAATTAAGATAGTTCGTAGGTTGTATAAATGAATATTGTTTGTAAGACTAAATTGAAAAATGCAGATATTCGAAATGCTGCTGTTTGTTTACTACGAGTATGTGGCTAAAAATAGTGCTTGGATAGCTCGTGTCATACAAAGTTTAATAAATAGATTGTTGCAACGAGAAGCTACTTTTTTGGCCATTAAGTAGACATAAAGCATGAAGAATAAAAGTGTCTACAATGAGTGTTTCCAGTAAAAGGAAGTGGTCATTTATCAGTCATTTCGAACAAGGGAAATGTCTCAAGTGGTAAACGTATGATAAATTAGATCAAGGAATACAGTAGAATATCCCCCTGCAGCATAACTACCTTCCGTATTAGATTACGTGCATTTTATACTTCTCATTTTATTGAGGAGATGCTCCTTCTAATATAGATCTGGATTTGGTAGTGTCTGCATGGAAACGAACATCCCCTTGTGAAACTCAAGCTACAACGACGTATGCATTTTTTGCTCCTTAAATCCTCCTCTTAAGTTCTGATGTTTCTCCATTTAGTGCAAATTAGAGCCCCAGGTTTTAGAGAAAGTTGTAGAACTTAGTATAAAATATACGATTCAAACGATTTAGCGTTAATAACTCCTGAAAGATCTAACACAATAGTCTTAGCATAATTCGCTAAATCTACATCTTTAAAGACAGAAGTCGATTGTTCGCAAATTCGTCCTTTTAGCTCTAACTCTCCTATTCTCAGCTCGGAATGAATGCATCCAACCTTCAACTAACTTTATTTGCTTATACTTTAAGCCGCTGAATTTTCCATTTATCTCCAGAACACCGATTCTACTTCGTACAATAACAAAGTTAAAAGTAACGAGTCTCATTAGCTCGAGTGCAGTATTACTCCACTCTTATAATTCAAATGTTTATAAAGAATTTCCGGTTGTTAAAATCCGATTACACTTAAGGTGAAACCTGCAATAACCATAACAATTACGCATGAAGCGGACAATTCCGAAACTGCACCATAAACATAAAGTGGACAATGGTGAAGATTTCAACCTGTTTTATGATGGCAGTTTTCAAGCCTCAACTGCTACATTTTATGCTTTCGCGCTTTACTGCCTCGCAAAAGCAATTAGTTATATCTCTTAGCTCAAAAACAAGAAATCTGGAGTTTCACGAGACTTGGAAAACAATTCAAAGTAGAACAATTCTCGCTTGCGAGATTCTTGAGTGATTTTCTTAAAATATATCGGTAATATCGCAGAAGTTATCGAGCCGAACGCGGAGAAGGATGTGAATTTAATGAGCCGCCAAGAGACTCGCATTTCGCGCTTTTGCGCCTAGTTCAAGTTTCAAGATATGTGTACGTAATGATTGAGTTAGAAGCGGCGCGGCGCATTTATTTTTGATCGGGGTAACTAGATGACGCTCGGCTGATTTGGAGACTTCCAAGGACGTCTCAACCCTGGTTACCAATTCGAAAATTGAATGAACATCTAATTTGGGCGTCTAACTAACTAATCGCAACTGTATAAGGCGGATTCATAAACTACAAGTACACGTTATTTTATTAAATTTGAATACCAATGTAGAACGCGATCTATACTAACAAACTGACCTACATGTCCCTAATCAATTTAGAGATCAAACATTTTTGTGAAATAATGCAACAGATTGCAATAAAATTGTTTAAGCGAGTTTCCCTGGAGCACCGCTTGGCAGCGATTCCAGGCCCCGGTTTAAGTACTTTCAATCCGTCTGCAGCATAGAAATTCTTGTTGACCTATTTGCAGAAATACGGGCTCGTAAAATACCTCTATTACGCAAAAAAGCCAGTTTCGAATAGACGGTTTATAAATTGGCAACCCGCACCGAACCGAACGTTTCCTCCATTATTCGCGAATGTTATCCCATTTGGGGTGTAGACTGCTCAATGCCACGACAAACAGCTAATGACCCTTCTTGGAACGGAAAACATGCCTCTATTCTCAGGGAAAATAAATCTACACGCATCCGGAGGGGGCAGCCCGTGTTAAACCCACAAAACACTTCTTTTTTCACTATATCACTTGCTGTCAATTACGCAGTGGCGGTTACTGATTGCATTCGCCGTATTCTAAGGTGGAAGTTGAAGATTTAGAACACCGCTTTGCCTGATTTGATCAACTACTTCGGTATAATCAACTACCACTTTCCCGATGACGTTAAGAGAAGAGGGTAAGGTGTAACAGGATCTGCGTAGCTCATGGCAGGAAAAGCACTTATTTTTTATTACAAGTTTGATAAATCGAATTTGCGAACAGTTTCCCCTTCTTGATAAAGTTTTATGCTAGATTCCTCCCGAATAAGATATCTAGCAGAGATAGAGCAAGACTCCCTCACATTTAAAATGTAAAACATCCAATTCTTAGGCAAGAACGGAGATATTTGTTTAAGGTTTCGCTTTTTGCTTTACAAATACGAATCGCTGCCGGATGCACACCTGCTATTAGATTTAGGCTCTGATTTCGGAGCCGCGAACCAACAAAAAACCAGTAAAAGTAACAGACTTCATAATCGATTTATTGTTCTTTTATACGATGTTCACATTTGAATTAATTTGGTTGCGTTTTTGGCGCAGTCAAGATGATAACAAAATACATTTTCAGACTTTTGAAGTTATAAATTCTGTAGTTGTTTCTAACGCAGATTTAATGCTATTTACCAGAATTTAGTTGTTTTTAGTTAAAAAAGGCGATTATTGAAAGAAAGAACTTACCTTGCATTTTGGGGTCCCACAGATTTCGCTTCGTATGAAGAGCTCGCCGAGATGGCGTGGTCAGGGATGCGACCCTCTTCCATCCCCAACGCCGTCCGACATTCACCTGCAACAAACCCAGTCATCAGAACAAAATCTCTAAATAATTTACACAGTTACAAAAATTTGACGTCGAATGTTGGCTTTTACAATAGTACCAGCACGATGAGTGGCAGCTCACTAACAGTTTTGTTTTTTTAATTCTGTAGATCTGTTTTCACTTTTCCGAAATTAAAATCTCTAGAGACTTATGTACTTATGTTCGAACAAACGCCGTAGAATTTCGTTCTATCTCTGCAATGCGTGAACAAATAACATGAGTTAAATCCGTAAATTTGCAGGTTAAATGACACATAATACTAAGTTAAATAGTAAACTAATCAGCAATTCATTAAGTGAGAACCGGAATCCACGTATTTATAATTCATCTCATTAATGTCGCAAATCGATATACAGCAAAAACGAATGAATCACAAGAGCAAAACATTAAGGCAGTGAATAATAAAGACCCCTGCTATAATAAAATTTTATATAACGAATCGTTAAATTATGGATTTTGCAAGAACATCGTTAAAAAAATCTGAATAACAATACATAAACAACAGGCTTGAGGAATTTACAACGGTAGTTTGAAAAAAATTCTTAGACGCAAATATAATGTCACCAAAGAGAATAGTTAGTTTTTCAATTTGTCTTAGAACCTAGACTTTTCGACATCTGAAAGAAATATTCAGCTCGCTCTAGTGATTACAAGAAATAGTCTAAAATTCGTCTATTTTTACCCTTCAAAAATATGGTGACGTCATCTCAAAAATGATTAAATAATATTCACCTAAAAGTGTTGAGTTCCAATGCTCTTTGTGTACACATACATAAAAATATATACATTTTTATTTTGCGAAATTTAAAAAATATGTAGGTAATATCAGTTACCGTGTAACAAAAAAGGGCCTCTGAGGGAATCGAGCTCGCAACCTACGCTTTATGAACTTTTTGTGCGTTCCTGACTTATATTTTTATAAAATATTATTATTATACAATACAATCTGGATTTATGGATCAAGATCATCATGAAAATTGTAATGTTGAACAGTCATTTTTAATTTTTAAAGCATTTTAACATCTAGGAGAACTCGTATATCTGAGAAAAACCGAGAAAAAGTAGTAATTGTTATTAAGAATTCCAGAAGTTGTAGGCCACGACTGCAACAGCGCTGGCGATCGGACTCCAATGAACACTTTCACTATGCCGAAGTCTGGTGATCAGACATATTTTGGTTAGCGTTTTACAGTGTTCGGAGATTATTATAATATGAATGACAAATTATTTGCGTAACGGTAAACATTTTGCCAAGTGGAAGGGTAGAAGAATTACTGGTAAAGTGATAAATTTATCTGAAACAACCGTCTTCTCATTAAAGTGACCCCACGTACTTTCTGTTGAAATTGTAATTCTGACCATGAACCTACATCAATCGTTTCATTTAAATCAATAACCTTGTTTAGTAACAAAAAACAGATGCATAATTTGATTAGATTAGAATAGGGCGTGGTCCACGCAAGTGCGGACAATAAAAAAGATATAGATAATCAGTGGCGAAAAATGTTCCCTCAGTAATAATAACATGCTTAACTTCCAGTGTTTATATTCATACTTCCAAAGAACTCGACGATTGCATGTTCAAATACCAGACATTACCAGTTTGTTTGCTTCAAACAAAGGAAAGAATTAATGAATTAATTAATTAATTAATTAAGCTACAACGGAACAAAACGGTTCGAATATTATTTTTAATTTTTCAATAGTTATTTTTCATAATTTAATATTATTAATATTATTATTATTGAATACAGGCGGGTGCGACATTACTGTATTCTTACATTTTGAAGAAAATGGGGTGAACCGTTCACGATTTGATAAATAAAAGTTTAGAAACGCTGTGGACTGAAGAAGGTTTAAACAATAACAATTATAAAAATATATAATAACGAAACACAGGGCGGATTTATAAAGCACAAGTGTAGGGGTATACTACTTTACGAAATTTAAGTTTGTACAAAATTTTGAGTTAGCGTTTTATCATTTACATGAAATTCCTAATATACACACAAAATTTTACAACAATCGGTCCAATAGTTTTTAGAGATTATTTGTTTAATACAAATCCAGACAAACCACAGACAAATAAACGGACGGACGGAAACGGCAGACCTATTTTTTGGTACTCTAGGGATCATGAAACATCGAGAAAACATGAAAGCAGCCAGTCGTCCGATGGATTTGAGTAGAATACTTTCTTAGCTTATGCTCGGGAAGTAAAAAAAGAAACTCTAAATAGAAACAACATAGAAATGAACAGAACAAAATAGATGGAATAAAATATTAAACAAGTGTTCCAGTTTTATTATTTGGAATGAGAAATAAGAAATGAACAAAAAGAAATGTGAAATGAAAAACGCGGAATGAGAAATGGAAAATGAGAAACAATAAATGTGAAATTTGAAATGATAAATGCGAAATGAATGCGAAATGAGTAACGATGGAAAGCACATTTTTTACTTTTTATGGGTAGTGTTTAATTTAATTTAATTTAGGATAGAAACTCCAATCTTATAATAAATTATTATTATAAATTAATAACCAAATAATTCATATTCTGGAATATATATTTTACCAAAATAATAACCCGAGTCTCTAAAGTGAGATAATATCTCCCAGTGGTGGCTCGTGACCTTTTAAAATGGGGGCACGTTTGACTTATGAGTTAGATATGAACATAGAAAAATGGCTGTTATTACCAATTAATAGACGAAATTGTGTGACAAAAATAAATACGAAAATACATTCAATTTAAGTAAAAAATTATTTGTCCACATATCTTTAGTTTTAACTCATTCTCATTACTGAGGAGACACACAAACCAAAACGGTTTATTTTTTTCAGAACCGCACATCCACAAAAAATTATCATACGTGTTATGTCTATTAAAATATTTATGAAAGTCTCTGGTTTTGCCATGAACACTTCTTATTCATAAATTTTTCATGACAATTTTATCGTCGTAAGACGGAGGACGATTTTTTATTAGACATTCACCTAAATTTATTAGAATGAAAATGAACTCCCGTAGCTGAATTACTGCTAGCGATCACTGTTCAAATGTGACCCGATTCCAGCCAAATACAACGACTAGAGGCGTGGTTTCCACGGCAACGGTGTAAACAAAAAGTCTAAATATGTCTCCATTTTTATCTAGACCTTACCAATGATATAATATCTTTCGAAGTAAGTTTTGATACATTTGATACAAATGAAGCGAGATAAAAAAAAATAGTTTTCATAATTAGGACACAAACTTCGGGATATATTTTTTTTAATATTGAAAATTACTATTTTGCTATCTTAGGTGTGTTTGTAGATGTTGCAAAATATAAGATAATAGGACCTACCGCATAAGTACGAACATAGGAGATATAAAATATTACCATAAAACCCAAATAACTTAACTTTGTCTATAAATATATAATTTTTAAAAACATTGTGATTGATTACTCGAGTTACATTGTCCACAACTTCAGGTGTAAATTGCAAAAAACAGGTTAGGTTTATAATTGTAGAACGTTTATTCGCTGAATCCATCTTGTTGAAAATAAAATAATGTGGTTCTTGATATTGGATAAATAAAATACATAAATACAGAATCATGGCAAAAATTTTGAAAAATTCCATACTGTAAACACGCGACAATATTTAACATCTTTCATCGTTCCAGAAATACATCTCTAAAATTGCTCTCATATTTTTAGACAGAACTTGTCTGACAACTGAAGTTTTTTTTACTGAAGAGTAAAAACTCAAGGCGGACTTATAATCCACAAGTATAGTAGTATGTTATTTTATCAAATTTAAAAAGCATTTACCTTGAAAAATTTTGGGGTGACGCTATGAAACTGTTAGCAGAGATGATTAGACAAATTTTGTGTGAGTCCATATTCATAAACGAACTGTCTATAGACTGTGTTGCAAAAAGCGCCCGATTTGATTCACTGAAGAGATTGCATTATTTTATAGATGCAATACAGTAGAAGAAATAAAAATATGTTTACAAACGAAGGAACTAACTACAGACAAATAAACAAATTTGTAAGTGTGCTAGCGAAACTGTGATAAATTAATAAGTAACTGAAAAATGATGGGTAAAGCAAAATTTATTTAACCAGATGCTGAAATGACGTCATTAACCTATTCAAGGAGATGTATGGATAAATGTTAATTAACGTTTATCAGTCATGCTCTCAATAATTTTAAGATACTAAAAATACCGTTAAGAAGCGTTTAGAACGTCAAGAAATCCTGAAATCAGAAATTCTTCCAAATAACCCAACTACAATGCTACTCCCCTTCCGTACATCTCTGTTGTAATTAAGAGACTCTTTGTTTGCATGTCGTTTCCTGGCATTCATATCTTCATTACCTGTACTAACAAACCGCCCGATTCCCATCTCGATGACCCCGCGTAGGGTGGTTTGCACGCACGCGAACCTTCCCTTCCCGAAATCCGCTCCGCCAGTTTGATTGAAGTAGAACACACGTTTAGATGGGAGATAGTCAAACTGAGCTACATTTATTGCATTCGGAGGGTGTTTCGCACCCCGAACCGAAACTAAAGCGACTCTCAGGGAAAATGAAACGCAATAAATTAATTAGGGTCTATATACCGACGTGCCAAATAGAATTAGGGTAGAGGAGGCGACCGTGTTTCGTTCACAGCACTTGCTCGCAGAATGAAAGCAAACCGGAGGACCCGACGAATCCGTGAATAGAGACCTTCAATGGTTTGATTGCACAGAATGTAATTGTTGTTTCGTTTTTGTTCCGGATGATGCGAATGGAGGTTCCTTTGACTAATGGCTTGCTTTAAATGATTGCGGCAGTAACGAGGGGTCGGAGTATTATTGTGGGGCAAGAAACGCAAACCTGCCGAACTTGACGGAAAAATAACGGGTGTTTTTCGGAAATTTTAGCGTTGTGGTGACGTCGATCGAGAACAAGGATTGGGCTTTGAG